CCGTGGGCTCCCCCTTGTCCTGCAGGAGGGGGAGAGGGGCGCCCGAGTGGTCCGCGGAGCTGGCTAGGGAACTTAGGCTCCCCCCACCCCCACCCCACTCCAGGTCACGGGGCAGGGGGAGCAGCAGCTCCTCTCCCAACCCCAAGATGTTTGCTGTGCAGTTTGCCTTTAGTTACAGAGCCCCTGGGAAGGACCCGTTAAATCAATACCTTTAAATAAATAAATATAGGAGCCATCGGCCATTTCCAGCCCCCTCCCTCGTGTGCAGTGCAGTTACCCTTCCGCTGTGTCGTCCCCCTCACCTCTCCTCCCCACTACGCCGCGGTGCTCCCCTCTATCTCCTGGTGGGTTTGAGCACCCCAGTGGTAGAACGGGCCCTTTGGGATCGTGTGTGTCTGTCTGTATGTGGACTCGCGCGCGCGCGCGTGTGTGTGTTGTGACCAAGGCCTAGTGAAATGTGTCATTTGGACCCAACTGTGCTGCGCTGTCTGGTAACCACCATTGTCTAAGGGCTGAGGCTCCCCGGGGTTGGATTTCTGCTTTAGCAAAAAATGTTGGTTTTTGCCGGGATGATGTGGTCATTTGGGGAGGTTTGTGAGATGAGAGTGTTGCACCTTGATCTCCGAACATAACTAGTCTATTAATGAGCTGCTTGCAGTGGCTGTTAAGTCAGCACGGTATTTTTGTGTATGGTTGTTTGAAGGAGGAGACTTGTTAGGAGACATTTTGCGTGTTTTGGTTGGCGGATTAAGGTTAATTTTTCATGCGTTGCGTTGGTTGTCACACCTCCTTTGATTAAGCAGACTGCGTTTAAATGTATTTTTTTTTTAGGTTGTACATTCTTTCTTTAACTGTTTCATTGTATTTGATCAAAATATTTTTCAGGTGAAGGAAATTGTTAGTTTGAAAAACAGTTTAAAAGGTTTGCATTAGTCACTGTTACAATAGTCTTTGAGAAAGCAGTTTGCTGTATATTGTTTGAGAGAAGGGAATGTTTCCAGGCAGCTCGAGGTCTTTTGCAACATGGTTGGTAGAACTGTTTTAGCAATTCTTTGATGATACGTTTAGCAATTTTTGACAAATTAAAAAAAATGTATCTCATCATTACCTTTCACTCAAACATAACAGAGTTGTGCGGTGTTCCTCAAATAATTATCAGGTCTTCTAGAATTGACACTAGGAAAAACAAGCAAAATTGAAACGTTAAATGTTTAATGTTAAGAATTCTACCGTTGCAGTGAGCCTTTTAAAGATGTCCTGATCTGTTAATAGCAGAGCATTGAAAGTCAGTCCATTCCCATTGTATATTTTTAAATGTTTATTCTGCATTCAGTCTCACCACTGATCTCGTTTCCAATCTAGTTGAGGTAGACCTTGGGCATTTTCTTTCTTTATTCTAAATTATTAGTTACCAAAGTCTAGTCCTACCCTCCTGCGTCTTGGTCATTAATGGTCACATGCCAGAGTGTCAGTTTTCTCTTTATTGTTGTTAAAAAACTGATGGAGATGTTCTTGAATCGTGGTTTCATTATATACTTAACCAAATAGTAATTGAAGTCCACTCTGGGGTTGTTACTATGTTGTAGGAACTGTTCTGGAGGTTAGGTATTGGAATTGGAGGGACAAGGTCTTGCTGGTTAGCCTTTAGGGGGTGTGTGTGAGTCTTTTAACAGGCAAATAGATGGCCTCAGAATGAATAAAACATGAAGATGAATTAAGACTAAGATAATGAACATTTTCCTAGGCTTGTGCAAAAATAAAATCTTTCTTTGAAAGATTAGCATTTTTATTACATTTTTAAATGTACTTAAAAGTTTTAGTGAGCATACAGAATATTTCTAGCTTAAGAATATTCTATTAATACTCATTTAGGAATATGCTGTAATTAATAATTTTATAAGGGGGACAGAAAGATGGTTCAATGGGTAAAGGATCTTGTGGCCAAACCTGATGACCTGAGAGTTCCATACTGAGACCCACATGATGGAAGGAGAGGACCAACTCCCTTAGGTGATTTTCTGACCTTATTTCATCAGCATATACATACATACATTAAATAAATGAATGATAAAAAATTAAATTATGGGGGAATTAAGGAGCTGAAGCTAATGCGTTTGTGGTTGTTTTTTAAATCTTGGTAAATATGAAATTCTTACATTAGTCTTGGTTAGAGTTACACAGTTGTGGTTCAGGTAGTAAATCAACACGTGAATCACAACTTTTGGACAAATTAGTGCAGTCTGTATAAAATTAACTTCATATGAAGATTACTGTGAACTTTTTAGTTGCAATACAGTTACAAAGTCTTTCAGATTGTTTTTTAGTTGCTTTTTATCCACAAGTTAATTAGAATAAAAATTCTTAGCAGTGCTATTAAGTATGTGTCTACAAATACATGTGTTTGGCTGTTATGTATACACAAACACATTTTCTCTTGTATGTAATGACCAGTGTTTGAAGTGCAGTAGAAACTTAGGCGGGATCTTAGCAGGATTCTGTGCCACTTACCTGGAGGATTTCTAATAGGCCATTGAGAAGGAGCCAACATGCTTCTTGGGAAGTTGTCATGAATGTGAAAAGTCTACCATTTAGAACTGTACACTAGCACAGGCTGTTTGTTTTAGTCTGAAAGTTTAAAGTGTGGGATTTCATATACCACTAAAAACTAGAAGAAAGTTTGTGTTCCATGTAGTAGTCACAGGTGGATAATATATTCCATAATTTAATGAAGTTGGAAAACATTTGGGGTTGGGTTTTGTTTGTTTGGTTTGTTCATGTATTTTACTTGTTTACTTATTTGGAGACAGGGTCTCCTTGGTAGCTCTAACGGGCCTAGAACTCACTACATAGACCAGGCTGGCTTCCTATTTACTTGCCACTGACTCCCGAAGTTCTGGGATTAAAGGCATGCAACACCAATGCAGGCTGCATCTTATATTTTTAATTTGAATATTTGTGGGGTACTCTGTTTTAGTACATGTATGTCATGTTTAAACCAGGATAAGCATCAGATACACATCTCTCTCCTTGAATATTTATAATTTGTTTCTGATTAAAGAGTCCTTTCTCCAAGCTTCCTTGAGATAAGTAGTACATTATTGTTTTCTGTAGTCAGCCTACTATAACAGTAGAGCACCAGTGCTCAGTTCTCTTTTTCACTGTAATGTGGTGCTAACACACTTTCCTCATCCTTCCTTCAGTTTTCCTGGTGTCACTGCTAATGCATCAGTGAGGTCAACTTTTGAAGTTCCATATATCCATTTGTCTTTCTGTGCTTAGGCTGTTTCACTTAACATTGTGAAAATGACAGATG